TGGAAATCAATGCCCCCGTTTATTATACACGCACCGCGCGTGTAAGAGAGACTTCCCCTTTGCTTCGACCGGTTCACGGTATCCTGTAATCCGTATAATCCAACGTTCTTTCAGCGAAATTCGCGATTTTTCATCATACACCTCACCAATATATTCTCAAACCGAGTATGTATAGGCGCAACTTTGCCATTTTCAATTTTATGGACTTCAAGTGGTGCCATTTATATTATATGTATTTTCCTCTAGAAATATATAAAAGCTTCTCTCTCATACCACATATTTCCTAGAAGTACGACGGCGAAGGTGCCGATTAGAGAATATTTACCATCCCGATGTTTCCAGTTCTTCACTATACTTCCCTAAACCACTTTACCTGATAGGTTATATATCCGCGCGTATCTCCCTATTTTCTCATTAAACTACTTAACTTTAGAATCAATCACCTTGTTTTATTAATACCGCTTCCTATAATAATCTAACTTAATTTTCAGAATTTTTTTTTCATGATGTTCTCTTTTTTTATTTAATTCTTTTTTAGTTGCACTAAAGAATACTCAAAATTAATAGTTGTAAAAATAGTAAAAAGTAGTAAACTAAAAATTCTGATTAAAATCCCTAAATATTACCTTTTTTATCGCAAAGAAAAAGTAGCTGGTGAAGAAAGTTAAGCGTCGGAAAAAATTAATACATGATGCGTCCGACAGAGGGCGCCAGTAATGATCTAGGCACTGAAAGACTTTATGTTTCAAAATTTAATATGATCATTTCAAACAGGGGAAAACGATGTTTTTATGTTAGAGTAGAAGGAGGTAATGTAGTGCACTTTTCTTTCGAAGACTCCTGTGGTCGCAATTTTTAACCAATTTTGATCAATAAGGACTCGTTGGAAAGACAATGCTTCTAGCTACATTTATGGTGTACATTATTTTTTTGTAGATGTAGATGGAGCTTTTCTATATCCAAAAAACTGAAGGCACTTTTTTCGACATTCTAAAATTTGTGGGGCAATGTAGTGCACCACTTTATTAGTCAAATAAAAAGCAGAGAATATATTATAAACGATTTTATTTTAATAGTTATAATATTAGGAACATAAGAAACTTAAAAACTATAAACTAGTAGTGATGCCCACGAGACGAGACTTTGCATGTAAAAACCGAGACGAGACTTTGCATGGTATCATCTCGTCTCGTGGACAGAACTATAAACTAGAGATTTCTTTGGTCCGGTGTTAAATAAAACTGAAAGAAAACTGCAAAAATTTACAAAAAGAAAACATGGTTAAATAATACATATTCACGGTACTCTGTATAATTGCACTACATTGCCCCCAACCCCGTGCACTACAATGCCACTAAGCACTTTCTTCACGTTGACTTTAATATCTCAATAAAAATAAAATTAAGCGTCAAAACAATACTAAATTTGTGTTCAGAAGTAAATTTTACATGGAAAAATCACTTTCCTGATACTTTTTTAACGAGCCTTACATTTTCTTCAAGTCACTAAAAAACGGAAATATGGTTTCGAAATCTAAAATTTCTTAAGTGACGCCACAACTTCTTTTAGGAGAAGCACAATCAAGCCAAAATGATATACATTAATATACTTTAAACCTACCATACCAACGGCAAGTAATTCAATTCATTCGTTTATTCGGTAAATCCAGTGCATTACATTACCCCCCTCTACTCTACTTAATCGTATGAACGTATCAACTATTAAGGGGAGGTTACCGTTCTCATTTGTGAAAAGTGCACGAAGTTGAAAAACAAAATTTTTTCATATACGGAAATATTTTTCGAATTGCGGTTTTTTTTACTGAAATAGTACATAATTATATAAACTTTTTACAAATTTATATTAAAAAAAAAATTTTAAATGGCGGCTGTAGTTTAACTACATACGGCGTCGTATTTTTTTATGCGCCGTACGTTCCACAGCCTCGCCAGGTTATCCGAATCAAAAATTATTGATATATTATTAAACTAGGATAAATTTAGGGGGCCTTATCGTTTTGCTTTTTCAAGAAAAAAATTTTTTTAAAACTTTTTCTTACCCATAAAGTAAAAAATGACAGGGTAAAAAAATGAGTTTTTTCTTCAAATAGCCGCCATTTTTTAAAAAAACTTTTTTCAAAAAAAGCAAAACGATAAGGCACCCCCCTAAATTTATCCTAGTTTAATAATATATAATGAATTTTTGATTCCGATAACGTGGCGAGACTGTGGAACGTACTGCGCAAAAAAATACGGCGCGCATGGTTTTCTATAAGTTAAACTACAGCCGCCATTTTTAATTTTTTTTTAATATGAATATGTAAAAAGCTTATATAATTATGTACTATTTAAGCAAAAAACCGCAATTCGAAAAATATTTCCGTATATGAAAAAAAATTCCCCAACTTCATGCCTTTTTCACCATTAAGAACGGTAACCTCCCCTTAATATGGTTCATACCATACTAATTTTTTGTATTATTTTGTCAAAAGCTGATACATTCGTACGATTAAATACCTAAAAACATCGTTTTCCCTTTTTGAAATGAACCATATATTAAAGTTTGAAATGAATTATATTAAATTTTGAAACGAAAAGTCTTTCAGTGTGACTATCGACACTGAACATTTTAAGTAAAATAATTCGTAAATAATCTAAAGTTGTTCCTTATTAGCTTAACCCTAAGAAAATTTGAACAAAATGTAGATTTCTTTATAGGATCTATATAGTAAGCTAATAATCAAATTCTGTTTATACAGCTCAATTTGGCTGAAGCTTAGAGCTTTTTGAACACCTTTGCTAATTATTACACCTTAAACCGTTGTTAACAATAAACATAATCTGATTAGATTTTGATTATAAAATCTATCAGAAATTCTTGCGGATTTTCACAATAAATTTTCTCATCTTGGTCATTACATGTGCAAACGAATTTTATGATATCATAAATAAAATTGCTATTAAGAAAAAACTATGGGTCATTGATTTTAAAATGATCGTTACAAATTGCTAAGTGTGAGGCTATTGGATCACGTAATCGTATATTTATATATCCTGCAAAATGTTGATCCATCATTTAGTAAAATGAAAATGAATTTTAAGTACAGCATATGCGTAGAAGGTGTATATACTACAATCATAAACCATAATAAAAAGATATTGCTCTAGCAGTTGGTAATTTAGTAACCAGTGCAAAATAAGGCGCTGAGATTAATTGATTTCATCCGAAGGTTTTATGTTCATTTCTTCTTTCTGCAAGTGCTATACTATATACAAAATAACCAAACAGCCCAGTGCCTGTACACATTACACGCGCCTCTCATTGTAAATGCACTCATTCCAACGACTGAATCGAGCGCTTAATTAGTGAATAATCAGTGTTGCTCGGTAAGTAATTATCCTCGCTTCATCATTAACACTGCAATGAGCGCACGGCTTAAAATTCCGTTAATCAGGGCCACTACACTTCAGGCACAATATTTACGAAACTTATAAATTCTGTATGTAAATTCAACTTCCCCAGTAGCACGTAATATTACAGCAATATTGAGAACACTGCCTCAATGTTGTCAATGTTACTGGAACATTACGTGCTACTGGGATTATATAGATTAAACCCGTAACGGGTGTAGAAATCTAGTATTTATTTCTACCACTATAGTAAGGGACAAGATAAACCACAGAACTATAATAATCGTTATACGAGGAGACATATATCGAATACCAAATTATATCTAATTCTGATCTACCTTGTAACGTTGTAACACTCATTGAAAAACTTTTGGCAGAACTGTTCGCTCAATGCAAAACGCACAGCTGACTTTATTTTTGGTAGAGTAATGTCTCTACTTCTTCTTAAATGACTTTTGGCTACTTCGACTGTCAGGACTAAAAACCTATGAAGAATAGATTATAATATTCCTTTGGTTGGAACCCGAGTTCGACGGACGCTAACCAAAGACCCTAACCGATAAGCTAAACAACCAACTATCAAACAAACAAACAAAATCTTGCCTTTAACCTGAAACGCATAAAATAATTTACAGGTTAAAGGCAAAATTTTTTTTGTTTAATAGTTAGTTGTTTAGCTTATCAGTTAGGGTCCTTGGTTAGCGTCCGTCGAACTCGGGTTTAATTCCCAGCACCTTTGAATTTATTTCCAAAAATTTCTCATCAATGTAAAGTGGACGTTAGAAAGATATTCAAATTGAAAAAAAAGCTAAAAATATATTTTTTTTATTTTAAAACTCATTTAAAAAAAAAATTGCAGCAAGCTTGCTGCAAATAATTGAAGGGCTGGCTGCAATAAGGGGACGAACGCGAGACTTGGAAGGGATACTGCCAGTCGGATAGCAGTGACAAGCCTTGAGCCGCCCACTGCTAGGTAGCAGTGGGCAGGTAGCAGACTAGTATTATCCCTTTCAACATGCTTATTTATATGCTAATTTTAGAACACATTCTTTGTACAAACTGTGACGTCATAATGGTTCAAATGCCCTTAAAAATAATAAAATTCTTCTCCGGAATTAAATTACTTTCAAAAATTTTGATAAAATTCTTGGCAAAATTTTAATTATTTAAAAAAAATTTCCTCAATTTAATGATTATTATTAATAGGTATCTACTATTTTAGTAAAATTTTCAAAAAGTATCTAATCTAAATCTAATCTAAACTAACAACCGAGATCGAGCTGGATTTTCCTCAAGAGGGGAAAGTAAGCACCTAGGTTATAAAACCCATTGTACTAGACTCCAGCTCGCTCGTTTATAGCAACCCCTTAGAGTCCTGTTCTTCTCCAGAAGTCCAGTATCTCTTCTATCGATAGGTTGCTCACCTGTTCAGGGTCAAATGCTGGGCATTCAGTTAATATGTGAGTCGAAGTTTCGTTACTCTCCCCACACAGTCTGCACATAGGTGAAACTTGTCTGCCTATTTTATGCTGATGGTAATTCAATAGTCCATGACACGTAAGTAGACGAACTACGGTTCTAACTCTGATCTTATCGAGTTTTAGGAGATCGCTCGCTCGCCTCTTGTTGAGTGCTAGCCTTTTGACCCCATCTTTCTATGGCTCCCTTAACCAAGCACGGCATTATTGCCACTGCTGGTTCAGGACCTATAAATTCCGTCTCGGAACCGATTTTCGCCAAGACGTCTACTCTTTCATTACCCTTGATTCCCGAGTGACCCGGTACCCAAATCAATGCAAGTTTATTTGCTAAACCCAACTCATCTAGTACGCTGCGGCATTCCCAGACGAGTTTTGATTCTATTGTAGGATTTTTCAGAGCCCCCAAGGCCGCCTTTTTCACCGCGGCAATATGCAGAGGTACTTCGGCTAGCATGAATCCCAACGCAGCTGTTGGCGTGGTTCTCATAGCTCCCGTAATACCCCTGAAAATCATTGCTTGCAAATGGTCCAGTTTCTCTTTAACCGTTATCAGTTGAGTCCTAGACCACCAAACAACAACCGCGTGAAGAAACCTGGGTTTTAAGATCATCTGATAGAGCCAGTTGACTATATAAGGCCTTAGTCCCCACGATGACCCTACACGCCCAAAAAGCAATACAGAACCTTCTATACTGATATTCAAAATGTTCCTTCCAAATCAACTTTTTATCAAGGATTACTCCCAGATACTTAGCAAGAAAAAGATTCAGAAAAAGAAATTTCTTTTCCATAAAATATCGGTTTCTTCAAACTCGGTACCTTATATTTTCTTGTGAAAACTACTATATTCGTTTTCTCTGGGTTTACAGAAAGTCCAGTCAGATTGCACCAATCCTTGACAATCTTAAGTGCACGTTCCGTAAGTTCTAAGAGGGTCTCAATTGAGTGCCCTCTTATAATTATAAGGAAATCATCCGCATAACTTCGCGTATAATATCCCTGGCTATTGAGGTTTCTAATTAACTCATCTGCCACTTAGCACCACAATAAAGGAGAGAGGACTTCTCCTTGTGGGCACCCTTTTGAGACAAGGCCTGTTACCTTAGCTGAATGGAGGGCTGTTTCTATTGAGAAGCCTGCTCTATATGCATGCTGTCCCTGATGTAGGGGATGATCTCTAAGAAATTCCTGCCTAATAAAATTATCCTAATAAAATTATCCTCCAGTTTCTCTAACGTCTTTAATATAAAAGAAGTTAAGCTGATTGGCCTGAAGTCCTTCGCCGCAGTATACCCTGACCGACCGGCCTTCGGAATAAACACATCCCTCGTCTTTTTCCAAGACTCCGGTGTGTAACCAAGAGCTATACACGCTCTCATAATTTTACACAGGGGTACTCTAATACACTCCAATCCCTTTTGCAAAAGAACCAGATATATACCGTCCCCCTCTGAAGCCTTAAATGGTTTGAAAGTGCTTATTGCCCAATCAATCCTTTCCGGAGTTACGACCCTGGCTGCTAGTTTCCAGTGTTCCCGATATTCTCGGTTCCTACCTTGTCCTATGCCATGGCTGTTCTCCGAACCTTCTCTAAAGTCCGGGAAGTTTACCTCCATTAGGTGCTTTATACACTTCCTTTTATCCTGGGCATACTGCCCATTAGGCAGCTTAATAGTAGATAATTTTGCCATTGGGTCTCGAGCTAGTACTTTATGAAGTCTTGATGCTTCTGGTACCCTCTCGATTCCTTCGCAAAAACTTCTCCAGCTGACACTCCTTGTCCTCTCTACTTCTTTCTTGCAAGAATCGAGAGCGGTATGATATTCATCCCATGCTCGCTGATGCCTACGTTTCTTGGCTTTATTAAAAAGCTTTCTTAATGATTTTCTATGTTCCTCCAAACGGGGGGTCTACCACTTACTACCCCCATTGAAGCCCATTTTCTTAACTACACATTTCCTTTCAAAGGAGCAGATAATAGAATCTCGCAGGTATTCCGCTGCAAGTTCCATCTCTTCCCGCGTTCCATACGAAGTGGGGAAGCATGCCATGGAGGTCTTGAGGTCTTCAATATATGAAGCCCAGTCAGTACTCCTGGGATTACGTCCCCACTCCTGTTCCCGATCCTTCGATTCCAATCTAAACGTTATAAGCCTGTGGTCCGAGAGGAATCTTCATCAGACACCCTCCAGTCCCTCACACCATCACACAAAGACTTGGAAAAGATCGTAATATCCAATACCTCTTTTCTGTTAACAGTAACTAAAGTCGGCTCATTACCCTGATTTTAAATATCTAAATCTGTATCTATCAGAAAATCTAAGTCTTCTGCCCCTGTCGTTAATGTCAGTGCTGCCCCATACGACATGGTGCGCATTGGCATCACAACCTATTATCAAAGGGTAGATTACAAGGTCTCCACCTTGCCGTTGACAGTAATCTACCAACTTCTCCACCTCTGTAGGTGGTTCGGGGTCATCCCCCGATCCCGGAAAATATGCGGAAGCTACTACAACCTCCCTTTTATTTTCGTTCTTTTCTAGGTACTTAGCCTTAACAACAACTAAGTCCCTGGTAGTTAATTCCAATAGAGGGAAAGCATCTAGACCTGTATAGATCAGGCAAGCCCTTGGAACTGGTTCCTGTGGTGAACTAACTAGCACCCCACAGCCACTTAGACCTCTAATCTTACTTTTGTAAACCCAAGGTTCTTGAACAAAGGCTATAGCTGCCTGCATCCTTGCAAAGTTCCTGGCTAGAATCGCCGAAGCGCCTTTACAATGATGCAAGTTAATCTGCATACAGTGGATCCCGGAAGCAGCCATACAGCCACACCTTGATCGCCAGCATCGTGATCCCCCAAAAAGGGCTCTTCGACGCTCACATGTGTGGTTTTATTTTTATTAATTTCTGTAGTATCAATTATGGTCCCACGAGAAAAGAGGAAAGAAAGGTCAATCCTTAAAGAGCCTCTATTTAAGGAAAAGGCTAAATTACATCTGAAAGTTCGCCTGGTATTTCAGAGTCTCGTTCAAGATACCTCCATTCGAGCCCCACCCCGGGGACGGGTCGTCCAGAAGACGGGCCCTTCCTGTAACACAACCGTTCCCGTTTCCCGTAATCCCGTCTCTCTCGATATCCCTCTAAATCCCCGTGCCCTGGGACACTGCCCAGCGAAACACAGAAGATTCGGTGTCTGTAGCGGCCGACCCATTTTGAAGGGTTCGCCCCCTCAGACCCCACGAGAGATATCGAGAAGTAGCCTCCCACTGGGTAAAAGCCCCTCATGCGCCTTCCACCAACGGCAAGGTCTTAAAACCCCTAGGGAGGGTTCAAAAAGTATTCAATTATAAAAAAATTTTATTAGGTATTTTCATAAATATTAAAGTTTTTAAGGGGGATTCAATTATTTTCATAAATAATAACATTCTTTTTAAGAATTCAATTATTCTCATAAATAATAAAACTCATCGTAGAATTTCAATTCTTCCCATAAATTCAATTATTTTTAGGAATTTTAATAATTACATTCTTTGCAAAATTAAATTATTTTCAAAAATAACATTATTTATCATCACAAGAATTCAATTTTTTTCAAAAGTAATCAAATTCTTCGCAAAAAATTAATTATTTTCAAAAAATTTTCAGAATTTTCGTCAAGGTTTAAATTAACTTTACTTTATAAGATAACAATACAAACAGGGCCGTACAAAGTATTTTATGTGTGCACCTTTCTTTTAAAAAGTAATTCATTTTTAAAAATTAATATAAATAACAAAATATTGTAAAATATTATAAAAAAAATTTACAGTCAAATCTCGCTATAACGACCTTCTCTATAACGAGCGCTCTCTATAACGAGGGCTCTGTCTCTCGGTATAGCGAGAAAGATTTCCTTCCGATTACCCCCACAATTTACAAACAAATGCACATTCAGTTGGTTTAAATTTGGTTAAAATTAATTTTATTTATATAAAATAAAAAAAGTCACTTCTTATTTGAAATTATATTAATGAGTCGAACATCTTCAAAATTTTAGCTTATATAAATTTTCTGTATGTTAAAGTTCAAATTAAACTAGCTGTTACGTTTGTAATTTTGACATTATGTAAATTGTACACACTAAAAAAATGAATGAAGAATCTTAAAAGTGGGGATTTCTCATTTCTCCTCTTGCGCTCGTAATAGAGGAAGACTTGACTCCTGAACTTCTCGTTATAGCGAGATTCGAGTGTATTTATATTAAAAAGAAAAAAAGTAAATAATAATGAAGTTATCAAATGAAATAAATAGCACCAGGCACTGAGAACCTTTTTATTCTACAATTAGGCACGGGACTAAACAACATTTCAAAGTCCCCGCTAGCCCTCCACATTTTCTCGACAACAAATTATGTAAACAAAGTCTCGCCGATCCAGATTCCAGTTTCAAACGTTTTTATAAACTTCTTGTCAAAATTCTAATTATTTTCAAAAAAAATTTCTCTATCCAATAATTTCTAATGTTTACTATTTAAATAAAATTTCCCAAAAGAATTGCATTATTTATAAAAAATTATTTTTATACATGATAAAAGTTTCACAGAAATTCAATTGCTTCAAATAGAATTTGCAGAAATTTTTTTCTAAAAAAATCAATTATTTAAAATTTCTTATAAAATTGTTACGCCAAAAACAAAAAATCTTTTTAAATATACCTAACGTTTGTCGTTTTAAATTAGTTTTATAAATAAATCTAATCTGGGATGAGGATAAGTCAATAAGCTTACTAAATGTATTGAGAGAATAATTTATTTGAAAACCAACAAGAAAGAAAAGAGTTGACAAAAATACAATGAGTATTAAATAATATAATTAAAATTATAAATCTCACTTAAAGAATAACGATTACTGGTGGTGTAATGATAATCTGGTAATCCAATCTCAATGGTGTTGAGCGCTAGACGTAAAGGGGCCTTGCGACTGTTGTCTTTAATAGTTTGGTATTAGTCCTCTTGTTTACACTAATGAGATAGTGTATTGTATTGTGAAAATATCTGCTTTCTTCCAGACGGTTGTCGCCTCTTGAGCAAATTTCGATGGTTCGAAATTTGGAACGTGTTGTTTCAATATTAGACCTTTGTTGACAGTTGAATTTATTTCTAAATTAATATTTTTGGAAATTGTTAAAATTTATACTTTTCAAATTGGTGTATTATAAGAGGTTGATTTGAAGTTGATTTAAAATTTAATACTTAGGGAAATAGTTTACTTTTAAAGATGCACGTTCAAAACTAATACTTGGAAATATATTGTTCACTTTCAATGATGTAAATTGAGTTCACTTGTAAACGATGCGATGTGTTCACGTTGGTTTCCAAAAAATTACTCTCTTGTACTAAGCGATGTGTTCAAGTTGATTTCAAAATAGTTACTGTCTGATCTGAACAGAACTAGTTCCCTTTTTATATAAAACTGTCCTTATTAACCTAATGTTGTTTTGAATCATACACGTGTCAATCTAGCTTCCCTACCAGGGGAGCGCGTTCCATTGCTAAACGACCATGGGCCTCTTCCTGCGCGGCGGGCCTCCCCACTCGACTTTGGTTGAGTTTCCTTACTGCTCTATGACTTAGTTTATAGAAAATCGTTGAGCTGCTGCACAATTATTATTCTTTTTACGTGACTCAACATTACTTTTCTTCTTTCATGTAGCGAAGCTTGTGGAAGGTCGTCTAATTGATGCACGATCGTTATTCATTTTTATGATTCAAAATATTACTCTTCTTTCTTTGATTTGTTATAATTTATAAATTTGTTTAAATACATGTAAAATATATATAATAATAATTACCATATTTACAAAATGTACTGAATATAATGCAATAATATGAAGAGATTATATTCACAAGAAAAAAAGTATAAATTTTAATCTGATTTTGGGGTAAAAATTCCCTGCAACAAATTTTCCCGAAGTGAGGTCGCCGCTGTATATGTAAATTAGCATTGGTTATATGTTACTAAATATAACCCTGGTCAAGATTTCGGACTAATTCCGGATTAAATACGGTTAGATTAGTACGGATTAGTCCGAGAATTGTACGAAAAATGTCCGAAAATGTTCCGCGTTAGTCTGATATCAATCCGAACGAAAACCTGAATGCGAAAACACTCCAGGGTAATCCTGAATGTCTTCGAATTCAGTCTGTAATTAATCCGCAACAATCCGAGTTTAATCTAGGTAAAAAGCTTAATCCGTAAAATGTCCGGAGCAGTCCGAACTCTGTAAGCAAGAAATCCCGTATTAGTCCGCAAAAATTTGAAATTAAGTGTGGCAAAATCCTATTCCGAAACAAGTACGAAACAATTCGAAAGCTGTTAGCTAAGAATCCGAAAATTTTATGCAACAATCGGGATTTAATCCAATTAAAATACGTAATCCAAAACAATCCGAAATCTGTATGCTAAGAATCTGAAAATAGTCGTCCACCCGAATCGTATTATATCTCTGGTAAAATTTTGGACTAATCCGGATTAAATCCGGACATATTAATTTAATTTATTTATTTATTTATTTATTTATTTATTTATTTGAAGTTCTTAGGGCTAATAAGCCCTTTAAGAAACAGTTACATATAATTTATTTTCGATTCATAAGATATATAGATATTAAAAATAGCACTCTAATATAATGATGAAAAACAGTATATAAAAGAAAAATATTTTATATAAACAATAATTATAAAAGGTAACAAAATTTTCATGATAATAATAGTCTTGAAAACAACTATAATATAATATAACAGTTAGTACTGTTAGTACTATATTAGTGTGGATTAGTCCGATAATTGTACGAAAAATGTCTGAAAACAATCCGCGTTAATCCAACATCAATCCAAGCGAGATTATAAATCCTAAATCAGTCTGGAGTAATCTTGAATGTCTATGAATTAAGTCCATAATTATTCCGCAATAATCTGAAATTATGACCGTTAAAAAATCCATCTAAAATCAATATGAAATAATCCAAAATCAATTGACGAATACGAAATCAGTCGGCAATAATCCTTATTTAATCCACTTAAAAGATTTAATTCGAAACAAGTATGGAAATCGGTCCGACTTTTTATTCCGGGTATTTACTTATGGTAAATAAAATATTTAATTCTGCAGTCAATTTGTTTTTACAAATTTACTAGTATTATTAGTTATCTTGTTTCAATATTAAAATTAACACTGATGTATTAGTTTCTTGTAATTTCTTTACGTGGCACTTTATAAATTCTATTATGAATTTGAACTTCCATGCGAGCGTGGTATAGTGGTTAGTGTATTCGATTTCGGTGCGATATAATGTTAGATAAGTGTACGTTCGAATCCCCAAGCGTGAGAAATGTTAAGTTAATGTAAATAAAATTGCGATAGGTAAATCGAAAAATATGTTGAATATACCATAAAGTAATAATAATTAATATGTGTAACTTGTATAATTATTTTTTTATTAACATTCACTAAATTGTCCGGATTAATTTTTTACTGTTTCGGACTAATTCCGAATTCACTGGTTGTATATAATCCTGATTTCAGATTTATCTGGACTAATTCCGGATGACAAAAACCTGACAATAAACCGTACTGTTTCGGATTAATTCCGGATTCACTAGTTAAAATTAACAGATTAATTTCGGACTTATTCCGGATTCACTAATTATTCACAACCCGTATAGAGTTCGGATTTATCCGGATTAATTTTGGGTGACAAAAACCTGACTATAGACCGCACTGTTTTGGACAAATTTTGGATTAGTCCGAAATCTGTCCGGTTTTTTAACCAGGGAATGCTACAA